AAAAATTACTCACCACTTGCTGTATTGCTTTACTTTCCTGGTCATTCAAATGGCTAAGGTCCAATTCAGGTGTCTCCACAGGTTCCACCACCCTCTGGTCCATCTCCAGCACCACGGAACTATCTTGAAAATTTAATTTGGCCCTCGCGGCCCTTAAAAAGTCCATACCTAAAATAAGAGAGTGTTGGAGGTGTTTCACCACAAAAATTAATACTTTGAGATTTTCCTCTTTTATCCTGTAAGTTTAATGATACTTTCCCGATGCAGTGACATGTTTTTCCTTGCGCCGCTATAATTTCCGTATTTCTGGTTTTAAAGAGTCGTATCCTATAAAAATTCTTTTTGAAAAAACTTTTCACTCATGAAATTACCTTCTGCTCCCTGTATCGATGAGGGCTTCTACTGGTACATCGCCAACCAGGACTTGTATAATTGGTAGCTGTGAGTTTTTTACGATGACTGTATTTAGATGTCTATTTGAGGGTTTTTCTAAAACTTCCGGGGTCTGGACCCTTCCCTTTCACAGGCCCCTCTAGTCGTTTAAAAAGCTTTCCTTTCAATCTGTCAGTCTTCTTGGGTACGCGGATGCTTATTTTTTCAAATTTTCTTTTTGGGCCTTGACCTTCGAGTTTCGATGCGTTAGGCTTGATAGTTCTTTCCCCCATATGAGCGATTTCCATTTCTTGTTTCCTCCTTCCTTCTGGTACTTTGAGAATATGTTTCCCCTCTCGCTCTTTCCGCGATTCTGCGATTTTGAAACTTCACCGCCAATTCGAAAAGTTCCTGCAATGTTCTTGGGTTTCTAATTTCAAAGTAGTCTTGGACAGCGGGTAACAATCTTGGTAATATTATTTCAATGATCTCCGCATCGGGTTTCTTGCCATACAGCATATCCGTTAGCTTGATTTTTCGCAAAATAAAGTCCGTCAATTCTGCTGTATCCCGTTGATAGAAACTATATAGTTCGGCTTCCAGCCGTGCGCGATCTTTCACTATGGGGAAGGCCTTTACTAACGATTTTTTGAAATTTTCAAATGTACGTCGGGCTTCCAAATTCACCTAGAAGAAATTTGCCTATATTTTTCCACCATAGCGCGGCCTGTCCTCTTAGTGCTGATGTGGCGATGGCAACTTTTTGTCTTTCAGGCACAGGGTAGAGCTGAAAGTGGGTTTTCTATACCTTCGAAAAATACCGCACCGAATTTTTTCCGTCGAAATAGACGTTTGGCTTGATTGATGCTCTCAAAGTCTGGACCAGGTATCCAAATCCTTCTAACTGCGTTGTCATTTCTTGGTGTTGTCCAGCGGCTTCCATCCAATTTTCGGCCATTTCAGTTCGATAAGTGTTCGGGCGCCAATATAACGTTGCGCGCCTCTAACTAGCACGCAACCAAGAGGTGACTGTGAAAGCTTGTATAAACCACAAAGTCTTATAAAGGGTTTAAGTCCCTTTTTATTCTACGTACTAAATTACAATTGCGTCCTCTTGACGCTTACAAACTGTGCCAACTAGGCAGTCAAATAAAAATAAAAACCTAAAAAGAAAGTAAAGACAATATTGTTGCGTGCGTACGGATTCGTTACTAAATGAATGCACAGTCCGATGAAAAATGAACAAAATTTATTATTATCACAACAAAAATGCTTAAATTTTCTCAAATTATCACGCAGTATTACAATATCTCACAGTAGTTTTCTTTTAACTACTCAAATGTCCAATAGAACGTAATTCAAAACAGCTAAAGAACGCTAATCCGCGAATTCGCTACAATCAACAACAGTAGTTTTCTAAACAACAACAAACTAAGCAACTACTACAAACTGAGATGTTTTCCTCCTTTTATAAGATTTAAAATCACGCGCTAGAATTTTCCAGTACTTTCTCGAAATCAAAAAGAGATATTTATTATTTAATGCACGCGCTCTTGTATTTTCAATTTTCCGGCTTAGCTTTCTTTTAATATTCGTCACGCGCTGCACTGCGCGAGAAATAAAACCATTTAATTTATAATTGAACTAACATTTGCTTTTTAAATACCAAATTCGTACAATATTCTAACTACGAGGCTCTCTAAAATAACTAACTCACCGCGGTTTTACAAATACCGCAGCTAATTCAGCAGACTTGAAGCTCACTGGAACAATTGCAACTACTTCCCGCCAAGCACATAGGCCGCAACGCGGGGTTCTTCAATTCTCGATTTCTACCTCCGCGCTCGCTAAGTAAGAATAACTCTCTCACCGAACTAGTTTCCTTCTATTTAAATCATACTACTTCCGCTGATAATTTGAATGCTTGCGCGTTCTACTCAAATTTACATATTCTGGCATTGGCAGTTCCAGGGGAAAGTAAGGCTTGACAGGAAAGATAGTTTAAACTTAAAATAAATGTTAGTTAAAATAAATATAAACCCTACAACATAATTAAAACCAAACACAAATTACAATTCTCTGCTACTGCATGACTATATTTTACTTAAAAGGAGATGATGCAAATCAAAAGGTCTGGCGATAAAGCATTCAGATGAATTCTACACATAGAAACAATATATTTCAGTTTGCAATAAAGTATGATAAAATAATAGAGTGCTTTTCGTTAGAAACAGGTGCTTGCATAGAAATCTTTCTAATCGGCTCTTATAGACATTACGCATTTAAACGTCCATGGAAATTTCAAAAGCCAGTCATTTATTTTCTGGAAAGCTAACCTGGTGAGAATCATCTTAGTTCAAGTATTTACCGTGTAGAGATATTAGGTAATTTGTGGAAGCAGAAGAGATGAAAAATTAGAAACGCCTTCGCCGGGAATCGAACCACGGACCTCTGAAATACCAGCTCAGTATGCTGACCACTACACCACGAAGTCACGCTAGGAAGGCGGGAGAAATACCTTACATACTCCCCCTTTTAAAGGGCGACTGCGGTTTTTAGGGGACCCAATCGCCAAATCCTGGGTGTGGAGAGTCATCATCCACAACCCTTTTAGTTCGGGTGCCACTGTAGAGACATTAGGTGTTTTCTGGAAGCAGAAGAGATGAAAAATTAGCAACGCCTTCGCCGAGAATCGAACTACGGACTTCTGAAATACCGGCTCAGTGGGCTAACCACCACACCACGAAGGCACGCTTGGAAGGCGGGAGAAATGCCTTACAACCGTTCCACTATTGCTTGGTTAAAGGAATTTCTAAAAAGGTAGCTTTAAACTAACAGAGTAAAATAAATGTTTTCCTAAAATTTCTATATTTTCTCAGTTTTCTTCGTAAGTAACTTGCAGCTTTCTTTAGAAAGTTCTTCTCGAAAGCTCCTTCCTGAAGCAGACAGTCGTAGAGAGCTATGCCGTAGTAAAGTACCAAATCTGGACTAAACTCTCATTAAATTAAGGGTGTAAATACTGAGCGCTAACTACCTTTCCTTATATAGGATAGTAATTGATATAGATAGTAATAAAATACGGGTGGAAAAAATTGAAATTTTCCTATCGCGTTACCCTTCTGAAATATGTCTTACACCTAGATTAGGATGATTTGGAAATGTTGCTAGTTTGAGGATGTTTTGTTCATTGTAGTCAAATGTACTGCCCTGATCTTTAGTAATTTTCGTAATTTGAAACAGATTTCGAAATCTTTAATTTTCTTCATTAATTTAATAATTAATAATTTAATTCTTAATCATTAATCATCTTACAGTCATAAAATAGTAATTGTTTTCGTTATTAAGCAGTACAACAGAGTTCATATGTTTTAAATTAAACTGTTTGCGTAACGAAAATCTTGAATTTAGAATTACAGTGAAAACTACATAAAACAACCCCTAACGGTTCCTATGAAATGGGTATCTGAAGAACGTGAACATTGATCATATTCAAAACTATTATTTAATTATACTGTCAATTAATGAAAGACCAGGGGTCTCAATTAATTATAATCTCAGTTATTAATATTATAATTCATTTTCTCCCTCCTTCCAGCATACTTTCGTGGTGTAACGGTAGCACACTCGGCGCGTATTCAAGAGGTCCAGGTTCGAGTCCCGGTGAAGGCATTGCTCATTTTTCATGTCCCATGCTTCAAAATAACTTTATGTTTCTACAATGCGACCCCGAACTAAAAAGTGGTGGATTATAATTCTTCACCATCAGGATTTGGTCATTGGGTGCCCTAATCCCAGTCGCCCTTTAAAAGGGAGAGTATATCAGATATTTTCTCTCTACTTCCAGAATGTTTTCTTGGTGTAACGGTAGCACACTCGACACGTATTCGAGAGGTTTAGGTTCGAGTCCCGGCAAGAGTATTGCACATTTTCCCCATCTCCTGCTTAAAATAACTAATGACTCTGCAATTTCATTAATTATATCTTTCACTCTCACATAATGGCCATCACCAGATTTAATTAAATTTCCCCTGATATTTCAATTTCATTTTGGCTGCAGGGGTGATTGGAAAGCTTAATTAAAGTAATGCATGGCTTGAATTTTTTTTAGCTGCAATTCTGTTTTAAAATTACACCATTATCCTGAATTCATGACTGTAATATAATACTACTTTTTTGAAGATGTTTCCCGGTTAAGTTAAGCTTTTGCATGCAGTAGGCCCTCACATATATTAGCTCGATAAGATGAAAATGCTACAAGAAAAGTCATTAAAAGGCTAAACATGGAAACAAGTTGAAAGAAGATAAGTAATTAAGAGATTTAAATGCCCTTACTTAATTTAAAGCTAAGTTAAGTCAATAAAGAAATTAGAAAAAACTAGTAGTATATAGTCTTATTATAGTTTTTAAACATTAAGCTAACTATATTCCAGAAATGTATACTACGAGGGAAAAAACTGTCAGTTGGTGCGAATATTGTAATAGAAATTAGGCTCAGTAAACGTTAAAGCTTCATTTCTTATAGATTCTACGTTCAATAACTTATATTTTTTATGTTACAATCTAAATAATCATAATTATTTATGGAAACCGATATAGATATAATTTATATTTTGATAAAATACATGTCTACTAAAATTATTAATGAAATTTACCTGTGGAATGCTACATAGGATGCTGATAGACCAGGCAAGAATGAGCATGATCTTTCCTCGGCGCTGAGCATCATTAACCTTTAGAGGGTGAAGGATGGCAAAGTACCTGTCCAAACTGATGCAGACAAGAATCATCGACGACAGGTAAGGTCCAAAAGCTCGCATGTACAACATAATTTTGCAGAATACATTCCCAGCAAGCCACGCCACCGTAATCCTCCAAGCTATTTCAAGCGGGATCATGACAAAGGTTACGATCAAATCAGCAATGGCCAGATGCATGATCATCAGGTTTACACGAGACTTCCGATGCCTGTTTCGAATGAGAGTCACAAAAACGGGAAGATTACCGGCAGCTGCCAGTACAAACATGAGGCTGTATAGAACGACTTCTCTAATCGATTCTTCATTGAATGTTAAGTAATAAGGAAGGTCCGGGTATATACTGGAAATATTTAAGTTACTGTTGTTCGTAACATTCAAGATAAAAGTGTCAATTTCCGTATCAGGTTCACTTATCACTGAGGCTTTGATTGGTATATCCATCTCAAATAAAGTTTTGTGAAGAGAACAAAATTAGGAAAGAAATTATTTACATGGTCTTAATAACACCTTTTAGAGGTGGAGAAAACTGGAATGAGCTTTGTCTTTGCTCATAACAATGCTTATTTAAATATGCCAAAAATGTAATAAATTTTTTCTCGCCTGTATAAAATATTGTTCTAATAGCAATTAAAATTATTACAGTTTCTTTCTTCTATCATAATAATAGCTTTCAAGAGATGGCCGAAAGAAGAAACGCTATTTTCTCTATTTTTATTATGACACATTTTAGAAATGGATACATATCAGAAGAATATTTTTTGCTCGTTTATAGTAACATTATCTGGAAACAGACAAAATTATGACTTTTCCTCCGCTTATCAATTGAATATTTTTTTAAGTGGACAAAAGTAGGAAAATGAAATTTAATGAACATAGTCACAAATATATTTTCCCTTAATCATAATAATATACTTTAGAAATGAGCAGAGCCAGAAATACAGTTTCCCTTTTTTGCAATACATTTACGTTAAAGTTTTATTTGTTTTTTTCTGAATAATATGTGTAACATGTATATTCATATAAAGAATAAAACGCTAAAGCAGGTAATTTAGCATCACAGTCTTTTAGATTTAAGATCCGAAATTTGTATTATAAGCCAGCAAAAAATGAATTCGTAAATGCTAAAAACTTGCTCACTAATATGCTTTAACTATATGCAAATTAGAAAATACAGTTTTATAAATTTCCAGTTGCATTATTTTTTATTTTCATAAACTGCATTTATTGCATTTTGGCAAATTTATCTTTCCTTTCTTTTATTTTATAAACTACTAAATCCTTCATCAAAGATTAATTAAAAATGCTTCATCATTTGTAAGGACTCATTCGGCTTTATTTTTAAAGACCGAAATTTCAACTACAATTCATAATAATGCACTTGTTTAAAATGAATTTCAGAAAAAATAGCTTTAGATCATTAAACATATATTAAAGTTTACGAAGCTTTAAGTTATCGCAAAAATTTATCAAATAACATCTAAAATGTTTCAACAGCAATGCATAATAATTCTGTTATTTAAAAGAACTTAGAAGACAGTTTTAAGATAATAAAATTACTAGTATTAAATGCATAATTAACATTCAGAGTTATATCTACTATTGCTTACTTTCCGTTCTCAACGTTTGCAGAATTTTCTTTATAGTCTGCAATTTAATTTTTCTCAAATTCATATTTTTATCATTGAACAAAATACTCGTCAGGAATGGGTTATTATTGGTACAAAAGTATTTTTCAAACATATCAAGAATTAACTGAAATATTTTAAAAATTTCTAGCGAAAGATATGTATCGGTGTTTCTGAGAAGTTAAGCTTTTCCGACTTCATTCACTCACGTGTAAAACTGGTATAACATTTAAATTTCTTGAAACTGCGCAACACACTTATCCATCCAACATCCATCCGAAACTAAGGTTATCATTGATCTGAGACGATATCCATTCATTTGAGGTTTTAGTTTCGCAAACTATAGAGGGCGCTACATTTTCAAGTTACCAATGGTTTCTGTTTTGTTTTAATACTTGGGGAGGCGAAATTCTAAATTCTTTCTGAGATTCCAGGTTCTCTCTTTATTAGAATTCTCGTACGGTTTTACTGTATTTTCGTTCCAGGAAATTTCCTGGGAAAATTAAAATACTTTAAATATAATATTAATGTGAAATACAATAAATAATTCACGTGGAAGCAGAATGGATAAATTACAATAATTCGAGCAAAAATTAATTGAAACGTGATCTATTTTTAGAGTTTCTAAACCATTCCATTTAGTAATATTTTCTTCAAATATTCATGTTCTTAAAGCGTATTTAAAAATGCTATTTGATGAAAATTATTGTACTTTATTCGCTGTAGAATTAAAATGTGCACTAGTATTTATCGAGATGGTTGCATCATTTATATTTAATGATGAGGTTTATAAGGAATTAAAGATATCCATCCATATTGTCTTATGGATCAATGAATGGGCATATCAGTCCTCCATATCCTGAAGATAACGTGCTCGATAATAGGAAACGTCGTGATTTGCTTTTAGGAATTTCTTGTTCTGGTTTTGAATAGTTTATTGATGGTGCATAGTTTGACTCTCACTATGTCTGCAGATTTGTTTTATATATATTTCACTGAAATTCTGAAAATTTTGTGTACTACGATATTCCAAATTCATACCATATGCCACATATGCCTGATTTAGCATATTTGTTTAGAAGTATTTTCTCAAGAATTCTTAATAAAAGTGAAAAATGCATGAAATAAAGTTCCATTTAGTATTCCTTAGATAAAGAGATGTTGTTGTTTTCTTGTACATGAATTTCATGGAAGAATGGTTTCCAGAGCCTAAAGGAGGTTAGACTATTTCCACCCCAATGTTGAAGGAGAGCCCCGCGGGAATGCCCGATGGTCTCCCACCCCTCTCCCCTACGACCAATCCACACGAAAGGACTTTCGGCTCGCTATATATTTAGAGTGCCCCATGCCGCAAAGATACTATACATTTACAAACATCCATGCCTTCTCCGGGATTCGAACCCGGGTCCTTCGGTACCGCATTAGGCTCCCCTAACCACTATGCCGTCTGGATGACTAGCTAGAGAGATAATAATTTAATCTGATATTTTAAATTCGATGCAGTTTAGATACTGCGACTGCTTAATATATATATATAAAGCATTTATGTCACCCACCGTTAGCCTGGTTCAAACTATGAGTATTCAGTGGGTTTATCCACTCTGCCACTGGTCAGCAAATAAGTCTTTGGTGACAATTATTCCTTTACTTATTACTGAATATTAAAGATTGCTTTCGTAATTTGATTCTCATTTTAATAAATATGCTAATGAAGAAAATATGATTTAACATTTTATTATAATTTCTTTAAAAAAGTTTATTTAGTACCATTTATTATGATTTTGATCTTAATTTTAATTTCTTGTTTCCTTATTCCTCGCTAGAATGCAAATTAGCTGGCTGCTGTGTATTTAAGCTAAGGATTTTAGATATATACGTAGAGAGAGACAGTTCTTGGCATTTGCGCTGCGTGGTTAGATTGCTTCCAGCTCCAGATAAATGCAATTATCTCGTTTTCATATGCTCTAGAAGCCGATATTTTAAACTTACGCGTCATTAGAATATCTGAGCCAGCTTGTAGCTCATTATTTAACTTTGTAGTCTTAGACCACTCACTAACATATAAATTGATTTAAGCGTTGTGATTTAATTGCATTACCAGAAGCATTGGTTACCTGTAGCACGAGACGAGCCTTGTTTTTGTTAAAAGGCTATGAAAATCCTTTGTATGTTTTGACATGTTATTTTAGACATAGCGATAACTCATGACTTTCCTAGTAAGGTTATAGGACTAGACTTAAAGTTACAGGTTCACACCAAGTATAACTATGTAAATGGCTGCCGAATCATTTACGAACCAAATAATAGTTGGATTATTTTATAATAGAAAATTCTTCTAATTCCTTTCTAGCAATTAATCAAACCTGCTGTAACACCTCTACGCATATTAAAAGAAAGAGTCTGTCTGTGTGTCTTTCATTCGTGCTAATAGACCGAGGGCTACGAAATTCGGTATATAGGTGCATCTAGAGAAGAGCCAGTGCACCTCGAAGCGATTGTTTCAAAATTCGAATCATATTTTATTTTATCCTTTCGATTTTATCGCATCATTTTGAATAAATTCATTTTTTTAGAAATGTGGTTTTGGCAAGAGTTTTTCATTCAGTGCTTTGTATACTGGACTGCTGGCTGTTGAAAGTAGGAGATAAAATGCTGCTTTTTTTCTTTTGATTTTTGGACACGCAACACGAACATCGCAATCTTCTTATTCTGACGTGCAAGTGTGTCTCGCGAGGCACAACAGAAAGAATTTCCTTTTTTTTTCGCTCTCTCTCTCTTCTTTTTTCGCTCTCTCTTAGCTAATGGTAAAGAGGTTTGTATATTTTGAATTATGTTATCCACAAAGCACAATTTTGATTGGTTATTGCTTTCTGATGATAGTTTCATTCTTTTAGAAATGTGGTTTGGGCAACAGTTTTTGATTCATTGCTTTGGATACTGGACTGGAGTGTTATCTCTTGAAAATATGAGATTTACTGCTTATTTCATTGTAATTTTTTATATTATGTTTTAATTATATATAATTTCAGTTATATAAAATATTTTGTATGATTTGTTTTTAGGAAACAAAGTTTTTAACTTCCTTTTTACTAATTAAGACACAATAACACGCCGAATAAATACTAATTCAGAAGTCAAAGAACAAAAATCAGCGTTATATTTACAAAACTTTCACAGGACTAGTTTCGATGGTTTTTCCGAACCACCATCTTCAGCTGCAAAACCGCATATGGACTGCAAAACCGCATTTGCGGTTTTGCAGCTGAGGATGGTGGTTCGGGAAAACCATCGAAACTAGCCCTGTGAAAGTTTTGTAAATATAACGCTGTTTTTGTTGTTTGACTTCTGAATTAGTTCCTTTTTACTATTTGAATTCCGAAGATTTTGCAACGGGAAGTTGGTTAGTTTATTTATTAGAATAATTAATATTGTATTAAGGGATATTGCAGTTTGTTATACTTGTATGTAAATACATTTTTTAAATTAAAAAAAAATTTTTTGATAAAATTTTTCTTCAGAGAAAAATTCTGCTCAGTTTTTTTAATTTAACGTTTGATGTTGTCTTTAGGTATTTTTCCGACACATTTAAAAGCCAGACGAAGGCTGGTCGCGTAGCTGCTAGTATATATATAATCCTTCGATAAAAAATGTACTCTGGTATCCAAAATTTTAAGTAACAAATTCATTTTTCAACTTAAACTAAGAAATCGTTGAAAAGAGCTTTTTACGGCCAGTAAAATAAAAATCCAACTCAGATGATGCATATGCAAATATTGCAAATATTAGCAATATGATATCGAAGGGTACGTTAGGCAA